GGTGTTCTGTAACAAATGTTAAGTGTTAGTTAAGTACACAATATTTTCATTTTCATGGCCTTGATTACGCTTTTCTTTTCAGATAGTATTAAAAATGAGATCCGACTATGAATACTTGGAGTGGCGCTCGCGCAACTTTAAAATACAGCACCAGTTCTAATTTCAAATTCGACCGCGATCTACGTCTGACCGTTAACGATTATGACGTAATGACGTCATGTATTGTATTCAGTGTGTGCTTAGTGCTATATTTTTTTTTCTGTGCATTTAGAAACGTTGATCGTATATAAAAATATTATGTTTTATTGTAACTCGATAATAGTGTCCCAAGTCCAATAGTAGAAATAAAATTCTATAAAATTACATTTTTTACATTCAGGTTCCATATGTGATAGGTGCTTTGAAAACACTCGCAAGAATAGGAGATATTCAAATATTTGCGTTTAATGTATAAAAAATAAGTGAGCGGATGATGTGTACAAAATAAATACACTATTACATACTCAATAAGTTTACATAGAGTTGGAAGTGATCCAAAGTCAACGTTTTTCTCAGAACGAACTCATTTACCGCTCAAGATGTTGACATCATATATCTTTCTTGTATGTTTTTATTTACACTCATAATGCACTGGTTTTGGCCGATAGTTTCGGTAGTTTTTACATTTATTCAAATGGTTAACACTTAAACTTTGTACCTAATTTTGTAATTTTGTCTATCCGTCTATCCATATGTCGTAGTTTATGCTTAAATTCAATATTTATGAATATATAGTAATATGAAGATAATGTGAAAAAAATAGAGTGCAAATTTTGAGTGTGAAGTTACATAGATAGCAAGTTTGTTTTATATCATGAAGGTGGCAAACAAGCGTACAGCCTGTCTAATGGTAATCGATCACTGTAGCCTATGAACGCCTGCAACACTAGGGTTGTCACGTGCGCTTTGCCGATCCTGAAGAAATCTTAAAACATTCTTATTGAAGAACCCCATACTGTAGTCTCTAGTGAAAACCTCGGCAGGGAACTCATTACCTGATTTTCTCATTAGCCTGAGCGTTCGTGGGAGAAAACTCCTCTGAAACCACAATGTGCGTAACCATTTAGTTTCTAGCGTGTAAGGATGAATTCCCTGTCGATAGCGAGTTTGGCTAAACCTTGTAAAAAGATACTCAATTAGAAATAATATATTTTAATAGTATCGGATATTGTTTTACATTAGAACTTTAAACAATAATATGTAAATACGTTAAAAAGAATTTTTTGAATGCAATACTAAATGGTACGTTTTCAGTCAACTTCAAAAAGAAGGGGGTTCTCAATTTAACCGTTTTCTTTCCTGTTTTTATTACTCGATTCCATCGCAAATTTTGAACTGATCTTGATAATTCGTTTTTTATTCCTATTACTAATTTTAATTCGGTGTGTCGTGTATTGATTTTGTAGATGGTCGTCGGATTAAAAAAAAAAATAAACTAAAACACTTCGAAACTAAATTGAAAAAATTGTAAACAATGACATTTTATATTAGTTTACGGTCCCCATCCTCAAGATTTTGTTATAGCGTAAGGATTCATTAAACGCTAATTTGACTGTGTCATTGACCTCGTACACCTCGACCTTTGTTTACGAGGGATGGGAAGTGTGACAGAGATATTGAGAGGAGAGTAAAAGCGGGAAACAGTGTTAACGGTGCACTGCTCTCGATTATGTCAAGTAAAAATGTATCGAGCAAAGCTCGCCTTGCTATAATTCAAGGAGTACTGACACCAACACTCATGTATGGAAGCGAATCGTGGGTATGGCAGAAGAAGCATGAAAGTAAGATAAATGCTGTACAGATGAGAGCTTTGAGAAGTATGTGTGGTATTACTTTAAAAGATAGAGTAAGAAACAGTGTGGTTAGAGAGAAGTGTGGACTGAAAGACGATGTAGTGACAAAAATTATGTATATGTATATATGTATATGTATGTATGTATTGACCTCGTATCGGCATCCATGGTCAATTTACACTACAATATTAATATCTCTGTTACGTAGCAAGTTGTTGCGTTTGTCCTTGGTTTGTCCACTTTAGTTATTGAATATTATTTAAAAAAAAAAGTCTAACAGCGTTTATTTATATTTGATACAATAATTTTATTATTGAAATTTGTATTTCGTTAATAAATAAAAAAAAAATGAAATAATAACTTTTTAATTGCGGTTTTATTTTATAGTCTTATTTCAATAGAACAAAGATAACCAAATTTTACTGAAATTATCACAGAAACTCTTTCTAAATGAATTTAATATCAAATCGAAGCATTCAATTTAATTGATTTTTGATTGGTTGTTGTGTTAATATCATCAGATTGTCTTATGATGGGATCAGTTATTCAATTTGTTAACATATTTTTTTTATTTATTTATCTATAGAAGTTCTAGTAACTTGTCTCTTATACTATATATTATATCTTTTTGGTATTATTTTTTCATATACTTATTATTTAAATGGTATATACTTTCGTTAATTTCTATTGAAACACATTAATATATTACTTATACATAAACGCAGTGTAGGACGACCCTCCATTGGATGGAGTGAGGACTTCAAATACATTGCAGGAATTCAGTGGATGAAGGTGGCTTAGGATCATTCCTTATCGCCGTCTATGGGGGAGCAGTGGACAGATAATAACTCATATGGTGACGATGATACTACTTATAGATTTCTAGATTCAAAGCAACTCTTTCAGGTCATTGTGTACATAATCCCACTTTTAATTTTTGTGTCATATTTAAGAATAGTTTTGCTTTTATTATTTTTGGCGATTTGACAACACGCTTCATTGCCTCATTACCTCCAACAGTCGGTACCAGATCGCTGTAAAGTGCACTACGAAAACACGAGTGTCCAATTATTTGCAACTGAATTATGTTATTTAATCTTCACAATAATTTTGCTAAATTTATCATAATACAAAAGTATTTTTAGTGTCGAACTGCCAAAGTGTTAATAAAATTCAGTGTATTATCGTATCCATTTAAATTCTATTTATTTGTGTGTATTATCATAATAGTATTTAACTATACATCCAATTACTTATACAATTAGAAATTGAAATTGTTAGCTTTCCACGAGTATTCTTTAAAATAAATTGAAAATTTTTATATAGAAATATTCAACAGGTTGAAAACAGATTTATAAAAATAGCTCCTAGACTATTCAAAGTCCATGAAGATGTAGGCTTCAAGTTCATAATCTATATAACCTTAAATAAATTAAAATATATATCTAATTCTTTAGCAATATTATATTAGGACTCGGTGAACAGTGTGAACACATTAAAAATGGACACTATAAAAGTAGTTGGAGAGTTTGTCAAAGAAAAATCTCCATTTTTGGTGAGTAACATAAAATTAAACTTTACACCAATAACATAAGATTTGAATTCGTGGAACAATGTGTACCGGATTAAGTTTTAGTTTTATTAATTGAAAGTAATCAAAACTCACCTTTATATCAATGGCATAAGCTTTGAGTTTGCGGCACTGGTCGACTAATGAAGTTATTTGTGCACGCCACTTCATCTGAGTAACTAGGATTTATTGATTGACTAGGCATTAGGGTAAAAAGTAGTTTATGTCCTTATGCCAAACATGACGAATGGTTTTCTGTTAAGGTTTTAAAAGGTAACAAACAAACCTACTTTCACATAATAAAACTAATTAATATTGTTTTATTATTATATTAATATGTGTGTAAAAATGTGTATTAATCTAAAACTAAATATATAGCTAAAATTTGTTAATAAAAATAATGATTTATAAACAGAAGGAGGGCCCATGACTTCACGGAATCCTGGTGTGAAGTTTTGGGAATTAAATCTATAATTTTTACATGTCTTTTTGATTCCAATAAACTATTATTATTATATTATACTAATATTATAAATGAAACGGATAAAAACTAAACTGTAACAAAATTATATCAATGACATACGGGCTGTGAAGTAAATTGTAATTTTTTTTTCGCATCATTGTTTCCCTAAAAAAATTTGCCTTGTATACTTTAAATTTTTTTACAATTTTCTCCTCTCCTACGTCAACACAATTTTTCTGAACGTGCCCTGGTCATCGATGTCTTTCTGTGTCTATAACGCACGACATAATTGACAAAAAAATTAATCAAAATGTGGAACCACATTTCTAATATCATCTTGAATTAGTCTATAATTGCTTTAGTTTCTCAGATAAGGGAAGTATAAAAGTTAAAACGAACGATAACAATGGATAACTATTGCTAAACAATATTGACTCGGTTTCACCGTAATCGATTGAGCCGCCATCGATTCGCGTTGCGATTATTTTAAAGCCCTACAAGGGTAACATAACAATAACACAATGGCCAATGCTTTGGCTGACGTCGACTTGTTTGTCAATGGCATTCGATTGTGACCATAGATAGAGGATTCATTTGCCGTTATGTGTGTAAGGAATTAATTGGATTTTCAATGCAATATTTATATAATTCAAGTGATTAAAAATAATAAAACGGTAGAAATGGTGGTAGTGATATTGTCTCATGATAATTTTTTTTTTTGTTGGTTAGACTATGGTAAGAACTTTCCTACAAGTGGCCTGTTATTGTATTTTGAATCTTCATGTAAACAAATTTGTGAACCATAAAATTCCCATTAAATAAGGTAAAAAATAACATTGACCGCTGCAAGGAAGCTCATAATGGCTTGTTATCGTAAAGAACTTAAATTTCTGGATACTCATTAAAAATCAAGAACTTGAGAAATTTTCGCTGAGGACTAATTTTAAGCCGATGAAGCACTTTTGAAGGGCGATAAAATGTGTCTTAGGGATTTGAAAATGATGAGATTTTCTAAGATGTTCAAATACTTTGTTAATATTTTCATCTTTAATTTCATTTAAGAAGAGCATCTTGGCCTTTAGAAGATTTGGACGTAACTTTCACGTTTTATTTATGGGTATTTTTTTGTCAACAGCTGGACACATGGTTTGGGAGGCCGAAGAAAGCCGGCGGCGGCATCGAGCGCGGCTACGAGACGGTCCCGCGCGGGGCCGAGCCGAAGCCCGAGGACGAGGCCGCCGCCGAGTACACCAGCAAAATCAAGGCGCTCGATGACAACCAGCTGTCTAGAAGATTCGAGGAAATGCTCGTAAGTCAACTTCAAATACATATGAATGACGTCAGTTGTTTAGTGCCTCAACACACCGTATTGTTTGTTGACTGTCGCGAGTTCGATCCTCGTACAACAAAAATATTTGTATTCATGAGTATGTCCGTTTGTATTGATCTGTTGTTTTCTATGTATAATACGAGTATATATTAATAAAAGAAAGTATTTAAATAGTTTACCAGTTGTCTAATATTCATAGTACAAGCTTTGTTTAGTTTGGAAGTCGATGACGCTGGGAAATGTGTCCAGTGGTATTTATTTATTTAAAGAATTTGAAATATTCTTATCCCATATTCTGATAGCGCTCGAATTACCATAGATTTTCTTAGAAAAGCCCATTTGCTTTTTTTTTAAAGTCAAATAACTATGCATTCTCAAAGTATCTGCAATGCTTATATCGAGCATTCATTAAGCTATTTAACTCTTGAACAGATAATACATTGTAAAACAGACTTTGGAGTCGATTATAAAGCGCAATTTCTGAAAATCTATCCCTAAAATTAAAATGTCAAGCTTGCAACAAAAATAAATTCATTTGTAAAAGATTTAAGTCACAATTTAGTTAATGATGGTTAGTAATACCATTAGCAGATTAAAATATTAGGTTTTTGTTTAAGAGATAAGGAATTGATCCCAATATTATCCTTATAAGCATTTAATTAACATTGAATACATTGAATTCACTTATTATATTACAAGTACTTAGTAAGTAATCCTGCGGAGTGAGGCCCTGGTGACCTGTAATACAGGTATTCTTATACCATAATATCTCAGGCATAAGTCTCTCATAATTATATTTATAATTTGATTACTTTAATATAAGCATATCTCATTGTACTTCACTGTGAAGAATTGTGAAGAGAAAATAAATCTATTATTATTTATTATTCCAGTCAAAAACGTCTTTATTAAATATCTACAAAGCACCTTTTACTAATATATATATAATTTCTGCTATTCACAGAGCGACATGAACCTGAGTGAGGAAAAGAAGGCTCCGCTCAGGAAATATTCAAGAGATCAGAAACAGAAAATGCTTATAGCATATAAGTTTGTTAATGCCCAGGTTTGTATATCTGCATAGTATAAAAAGTCGCTTCCTGCCATCTATACGCTTAGATCTTTTATTCAACGTAAAGGATTTTAATGCGGTTGTCATCAATAGATAGAGTAATTCAAGAGAAAGGCTTATATAGTTTAATATTATTTTGTGTTAATTTGTTGAAATATGACGACAAAGATAGCTTTCATCGACGATGCTAAAATATAACAAAATAATGTACGATCAAATCTAGATACATATAGCTTTCCAAGTCCATTTTAATATTTAAAAAAAAAATACAAATTATGTGGAGTTTTGGTCTATGTTCAGCAGTAGACAGTTATCGGCTGATATGATACAATAGTAGTATTAATAATCATTCCATACTGATTCCACACTGATACCACATTGTTTCTACATAGCACGCGTGCGAAGACGGGGCGGGTCGCTAGTTCTCTATACAATGGCTTTAACATTATAATGAAATCGAATGGGTACTGTCTTCACTACTTGATAGAAAGCGGTCATGTGTAAATACCATGACCTTCGCAACGCAGCGGTGGTTGAGTTATGTGGTACCAGGTTCGATTCTGGGACTCAATTTAAGCCACTTTTTTTTTTTAATTGGCTAGGATCGGGGTATTGTAAGGTTTGTACCTTATAAGGTATCATAGTTTGATTATATTAGGTGGACTTTTCTTTATTACGAAAACAAAAATCCGCCAGATGTTGCTTTACTGTAGGTAAGACCATGGTAGGAAATATTTAAGAAATTATGTTCTTAAGAGCAATAGAAGCCAAAACAATATTGTTTGTCCGTTCGTACGTTTGTTTCCGATATCACATAAAAACTACTGCATTCATTGCATATTATTTCAGTAGTACATAATCCACGCTTATGTATTTTTTTTATAAAGCACTACCAGTATTAAAAATTTTATCTTCTCTCATCAGGAAGGTCGTTCAAAATTCGAGAAACCCTCCGATTACGTGGCCTACCTAAGTCAACAAGAGCTCTCAGTCGGGAAGCTGCACAGCTGTTTAGAGAATCTCCGTATAGCCCTCACCAACAACCCACTGTCCTGGATAGAAGAGTTCGGCACCAAAGGCATCACCACTTTGCTTGCTACCCTCAACTTATGTTACAGCAAGTAAGTGAAATCCCCTTGTTTATATTTTAAAATATTCTAATATAGCTATTGAACGGTTGTCTTATTCCCTTGTGCTAATTTTGCAACTTGAATGTGGCAAAAAATAATTAAAATAGGTTTTGGAAAAAAATAAGACTAAATATTTGTAAAAGAAAAATAGAGATAAATTTTATTAATATAATAAAATTGTAACTAAACGGTATCTGTACAAGACAAATTAATATGAGGTGTTTTACAAAACAATAGAAGCTAAGACAACAATTTCTAGAGCTTTCGTTTATCTATCTTTTTTTTTTGTATATGTATGTTGTAATTTGTGTGCTGTAAGTAATGCAAATAAACTATCTATCTATCTATCTGTATATTCGTAATACCTATACTACGAAAATTGTTATTGATTAAGTAGCATGTAAAATGTAAAAGTTGTAGGTGAACATTATTAAATAAATAAATAAATAAAAACTGCGTGGCCATATACAATTGCTGGAATTTAAAAGTATTATCTTTTTACATGCTGTCAGTGGCAGAGGGTTTTATCGGTAAGTGGTGTATTAAAAATTAATTTAAAAAAAAATTAGCATTAGAGTGTAAGAATAAATTTATTTCGATTCTGCCATGAAAAATTTATATTGTTTATTGTTATTATAATTCTTTTACAGTGGAGCTGTGTATAAATAAGTAAAATTATTCTAGGGTACATCCACAAGAGAAATAGTCCAACTCAAAATTGTGAGAGATTATGCAAAATTTGCTACTGGTATACAAATGAAAATAACTTTATTTACTCAGAACTGATACACACTTTTATTATATGTCAGTTAAGATTAAATTTTTGGATGAATACTGTGATTACCAACAGAGGATAATGTCAAGTCAAAATTAATGCTTCTCATATATGAGTAGTAACGACCACAATATACTAGTCTCCATTAAAGGATATGACAATTGAGTAACACCCGTTCACTAGTATGACAGTTGAGCCAGCCATCGCTGTACTCAACCATTTTATAGGCAAACAACTAGCTATTATAAACCTAATTATACTAATGTCTGTTTTCAGCGATTCCCGATACGATCGTGTCCAGTACGAATGCATTAGATGCATATCCGCCATATTGAACAACACTGTCGGAATCCGGACGATGTTCGACTGCAAAGAATCGCTTCCAGTCCTCGCAAGAAGTCTGGACGCGAAGAAACCACATTGTGCCTTAGAAGCGGCTAAAGTACGTAGTACAAATCTCAATTAGGAATCTATATAGTATACAGGAGCGTCGACTCCGTGGGTGCTCAGCTCCCACTAGAGTAAATAATGGTTGCGGAGCATCCAAGACACTAGACATCATAATATAACCAAAATAATTCTCATCTCATTATCTATTATATAGGTCGCGTCTGATTGTCTAGCAAGCAGTGTCCGCCTATCAGCTGAAATAATGATGATGTACCTAGTTATCAAAAGAACATGAGCGCCCCCGAGGTTTAGAACCCGGCGTCCCTGATATAGTATAAGCATTTGCTTAGCTAGTAAAAGGGACACCTTGTACATGATGCCAGATCGTGTATAAGGTGCGGGTTCAAATCCCGTCCCCTTCGCTAAGCTAAACGAAATATTACACAGAAAAAGCGCCATAGGGTAAATAAAAGATAGCACCAAATTGGGACCATTCCAAAATCCAAACGACTTTGGAGTGTTCCTTTTTTATCGTCATTTTTTCATCATCAGCCAGGGTGCATGTTGTCATCAAAAATAAAAAAAAAGTGCTTAGGTGTACGTCAGTAATGAGTTGTAACTTTTTAATCATCAATATGAAACCATGAAAGTCTTGTTTCAGGGCGCTAGGAATGCTAAATTCCGTCCTGATAATAGATTCTCAGTTTTGAGAATTACATGACGTTTTCGATAATAAATTATATAAAAATAAATATTAATCGTATCTTATTTATGTCTATTTCAGGTTCTAGCCGCCATCTGCTTGATTCCGAATGGCCACGAGAAGGTTCTAGAAGCTATAACAATGGCTGGGGATTCAAATCAGCGGCCGAGGTTGTTGCCAATCCTGGAAGGGCTCCGTCCTAATGCGCCGGAGAGTTTAAAGGTATTTTTTTGTTCCGTAATTGTTAAATTTTATGCTTTGTAATGGTTTGGTTGTCCAGCTGAGAAGATGCTTTTAAATGGAAGTAGAGTATTGCTATCATGAACTTCACAGTATACTGTGATACCCTTGTTATAATCAGTTGCTGTTCGTTGTATTCGTTAATTTGCTCATATTTTTTGTGTCTATATGTGTGTTACTAATACTAGACAGGTTTTGATAATCCTTTTTATTTTCAATATGAATTTATATTTACTTCTGTTTTGGTTGTAATATATATATATATATATATATATATATATATATATATATATATATATATATATATATATAATATTTAAATTTTAGTATTATTTTTTAACTGATACAATAAATAAATAAAATTATTATAGATAACTTTTTGAGTTTCGTTTATAGACGGGGTGTATGCAACTGATTAATGCAATCATCACAGACCCGGAAGAATTAGAGTTCAGGATGCACCTGCGTTGCGAGTTCATGAGGACCGGACTTATTGATTTGATTGGTAAGCAAATAATTTTATGGAACCGAAAATACAATGTGTCTATTTGCCTTCATGCCAAGTCCATTGTGACGTAAAGAGAATGAATCAAGTGGCAAAGGCCTAATGTTACATTTCTTGCTTCATCCACTTTTACAACTCATCTTAACGTCGATTTTTTTTTTATGATACTTCGAGGGTCAAGCATACTGACAGCCGAGTAATCGAAAGTGGTTACCGTCGCCTATATTCATGAACAGCACCACGAACATAACAGAATATACTATAATTACCATGAGTAATCTCCATGCGTTGTTATTCCTGAGGACTAAGGTGCTATACCTCCATTCTATACCCTGTTGATATTACTACTATATCCCACTCATCTAACATAAAACACAGGAATGCAAACTGCTTCACGACAGAAACATGGTGCAGGAGATTCTTGACTTCTCTGTCTTATAGATTAGTCTATGTCTTCCCCAATTTCTACAACCATCTGTTTTCGCATTGTATATAACTTTCGTCTGATAGTCTTTCTATAATATATCCCTATTTTTTCTTTATTCTAACTTGAGGATCAAATGATTTATGTGATTATCAGATGACCTATCGGATATCAACAGTACTAACCATATATACTGTTATAACGTAATGCTGGGATCGTTCCAGTCTTCTACATCTTGCTTCTTTAGCAATTGTTATTTTATTCTATTTCTTTTTTTTTTTTTTGCATGTTAAATTGATCGTGACTAATGAAATTCTTCAGACGATCTACGTAAAGACGCGGAGGGCGCTCGGCAGATACAGATGAACGTGTTTGATACCCACGCCGCTGCAGATCAAGAGGAGTATCTAGCCAAATTTGATGATGTTAGGTTAGTAAAAAAAAACCTAAAAATCAATATATTAACATATGATTAGATTCTAGATTACTTTTTTTACGCTTTATACTTCTGTAAACGAGGTTTTAGATTTTCTAAGACAATAAGAACATATAAACATATGTTCATATTGTATCTTTCTTTAAAGAAAATAATAAAAGGTATTCTTTCTTTAAATAAAGTTAGTGAAGTCTGGCAACATTTGCATATTCGAAAACCGTTTTATTATATATTTATATATTTCTGAATTTATATTTATTTTGTTTTTAAATGGCGTTATTTTGGGTAAAGACTCTTAGTAAAATGTACAGTCTCTGTTTATGCCGTTATATCAGTCCATATATTTAAGATTACTAAATTATTTATATTTAAATTTACGTTTTTTTTTACAGGGTCGACTTCAACGACGCGAATGAATGTTTCGAGCTGGTGAAGAACCTAGTGATGGACACACCGGCAGAACCTTATCTTCTCTCAATATTGCAGCATTTACTCTTCATCAGAGACGATGAACTTATTAGGTAAATACTCTCTAAAACTGTATGAGAATTTGAAACAAAAAAGTATTAAATCGTTTTTTAGTCACTGTTTTTAAACCTTTGGTCACTGTCGAATTGTATAATAGTTTTATACAGAAAATCGAGTTATTTATATCCATCATTTTCCTGTAACATATTTGGAGTTGTCACCTAATGCAATGTTGCTAATTTTCAACCGACTGAAAAAAGTATGAACGAAATTAAAAAAGAATGAATTAAAAAAATAACGAAATTGAGAGGAGGTTCCTCTCAATTTCGTTATTTTTCTTTTTGATCCCTACCTCATAACTTCGTCAGTTCTAAACCTATTTCAAAAATTGATTTTTTATTTTATCTGAAAGGATATACTTGCAGCTTGGCCCCAAAGAAATTTTATTAAAATCGGTTCAGGAGTTTACTTTTTAGGTCAAAACAACTAATTTTGTCATAATTGAAGTATTTTTTTTTTTGTCTAAATTATTGCATTTGTCTATAAAAAGTCGTCACTCCAGGTCCTTTTTCCTTCGTCGTTTATTCCAATTTTTCGAGTTTGAGCGGATCCAATACCCTGTCAGATTAATGATCCTAAAGATAAGTAATAAATGCATACATTAGTATTTTACTCCTTGTTTTTGTTTGTAAAATTTTATTATTGTTCGGCAGGCCGGCATATTACAAGCTCATAGAAGAATGCGTCACACAGATAGTTCTGCATAAGAATGGCTACGACCCTGACTTTAGAGCGACACAACGTTTCAATATAGATGTCCAGCCACTCATTGATGGACTCATAGGTGAGTTTTTGGCAGCCATAAAAACTATTATCATAATAGGGTGGGGGGGGGGGGGGGGGGGTTCAATTATTACGTATCGCACTTGGAAGAGAAGCGGCGGTCTTGCAAAACGTTACAATCCGTTACAACTGGTTTATTAATATTTTTAGAAAAATCGAGAGCAGAAGAAGAACGTAAAGTAGAGGAGTTGAAAACGAAGCTGGAAGCGGCGATCGCAGCGCGGCAGGAGGCGGAGGCGCGCGCCGCGCATTTAGAGGAGCGGCTCAAGGGCGCCCCCGGCGGCGGCCTGCCGCAATCTACCGTCGCTGCTATCGCCAAGGTATGCCCACCGCTGCCCACGTGGGGTTACCTGCGTTTCCCATGATATAACTTCATACTTACACTTGTTTATGATATTTAGAAAGGCAAATAAGCTGATAGTCCACCTTTTTTATGAGAGGCAAACAAGCTTACGGCCCTGATGGAAAGTGGTAACCGTCGCCTATAGTCATGAGCAGTATCATGGAATACCCTTCATGCATTACCATTCCTGCACAGCATTATGGACAGTCCTAAAATATACAGTGATGCGTTCATGCGTTATCTTTCTTGAGGGCTACGATGTTATATCTCCATAATCTGTAACTTTACTGCTATATCCCACCCTTAAAGCTGAAATATTGCTACATTAAGTTAAATTTTGTAATTTTTTTTTTCTCATTTTATAATTCTCAAAAAACTTCATATAAAATAGTTCACAGTTTTTTTTAAAGCTAAGATTAGTACTATATTTGCGTAAGTTCTTCTTTTTTTTTTCAAAAAAAGGGGTAATGAGTTTTCTTCAGGATCGGCAGGGCACGCTTAAAATCCCTGGTATTGCAGGCGGTCAGACTACAATAACCCCTTACCATTTTGTTTGCCACTTCAGTAATTCTAAGTAAAAAGTTATATTGCATAGTGTTTTGGTATTGCGCCGCGGAAGATTCGCTTAATGTGACGTTTATTTGTAGGAAAATCTTAATTTTCTTGTAAACATTCTTTCAGGTTATCGGTAGTCCCGGTGGCCCCCCGCCCCCACCGCCCCCTCCCATGCCAGGAGGTGAGTCTTCCCTCTCTATATAATATGGGAAAAATTCACTAAAATCAAATTTTACCTTGCATGATTGTGTCGTAACACGGTAATATATATATTTTTATATTTAATTTATAAATAAACATATTTACTATAAAAAGATCTGACTGAATACTTGAACAAGATCGAAACGTTTTAATAAATTAATTATTTATTTAGCTAATGGGTTCAGTAAAGTAATTGATTATACATCACTACCGCATCCTGAACTATTTTCAAGTACAGTAGTAGTAAATTAAAATTAGTAAAGTAGTAGTAGTAATGTAGTAGTAAATTATTATGTTTATAATAACTCATGTTCAGTAATAATATTAATTAATAAAAATAATCGAAAATACTCTAAATAAATAGAAGCTGGGAGAGCTTTGAATCCCAAAAGCAAATATATTTAATTTTACTACAGATAACCCTGTCTATTGGTTTTATTTCACTTTGAATGTTTTTCTATAATTATGTAATATTATTTAATACAGCAATAAAATATCTATTGTTCACGCGTTAATATTACTCACAACCTCACTATTACATGCATGTGTATACGCACTATAGCTATCTATCGGTGTGTGCTTCTAGGAGGACCGCCGCCGCCGCCTCCTCCACCGTTACCAACAGGTAGGACATCATTTCTTATTAAATATTCTTTATGTTACAAAATAATCTTGTAATACTTTTTTCCTTTATCCAAAGGTAGTCTGGAAGAGGTACTACATATGTATAATATATATATATATATATATATATATATATATATATATATATATATATATATATATATATATATATATATATATATATATATATATATATATACAGGCAGTCCTCGTACTTACAACATATTAGGTTCTCGAAAAACGCAACATAAATCGAAACGACGTAAGTCGAGACATATTTTTTCATATATTTACATGTAAAATTCAAGGGTTAGGATTCACACAGATTCAAAATAAAAAAAAAAATACTGAGCATTTATAACAAAGGATATACATACTTTATTATCAAAAGTAAATTCTTAAAATAATTATATATGAAGTGGAGTAAATTCTCCTATGCCGGAAATCGAAACAGTTGACGTATGTTTGAGGAATAGTGTCAGAACATTGTTCGACGTAACTTGAAATGACGTAAGTCGAGGACCACTTGTTTTGTATTATTCTTTAAGTGATACAAAAACGGGTAACAAAATAAATAAAAATATAGGTTTATGTAATTAACCGGGACAACATGCATGTAAATAAAGGAGATAGTAAATCTTGGCTTATAACCAGTCGCTATCATTGTGATAGAATGTCTATCATTTAATATACTTAATACTATTATATATTAATTATTAATATAATTATGGGATTCGATGTTAAAGGAATAAACATGATATTGCCAGAGAGGGATAGAAATCTATTTATGGAAAAAGACAAGAATTTAACTACAACAACTTATGAGAATGGATTATGGTTAAATTAAAAGAGTTATTATTAAATACAGACTCAATTGTGCACTTTTGATATTATTATAGGAAAATCTTTTTTTAATTCTTCAATAATTTTTTTTCAATTACTTAATTAGATTTAAATGCATGCCCACACGTTATGAAAGCAATTTTATGTAATTGTATGTGTCTATTAATATTCAAGTTATTGGTGAACGCTTAACTCATTGCATGCCAGCACTATAGCTATGTCGGTGTGTTCTTCTAGGGGGTCCAGCGCCTCCGCCTCCACCCCCAATGCCGTCAGGTTGGTATTATATATACACATAATATATATTTTCTATGCTTTATCAAGTATAAACCGTTTTGTGTATTACATAGCATATTTTATGATATGACGCAGTTAAATTAGCTACACATTAACTACGGCGTTTTATTTAATTTGACATGCCATCTGGAAAAAAATAGCGAACTTTTACGAATCATGTCAAAATTCATTTTATATACTCAACCGAATGAATACAGAACTGAGAACTCGATTGATTTTTGAGACATTTCGCGTTTTTAATATAACATAAATACACTGATTTAATCGGTTGTTTTGTGGGTAATTAATCATATTAAGATTTGCATAAAATGTTTATTAATCCATCTGAAATTATTATTAAAAGAATGTTTTTAATTGTAATTATCCCCACAGCAGGAGGCGGTCCTCCCCCTCCGCCCCCACCGCCAATGCCAGGCGGGATGGGCGGTCCCCCACCACCTCCAATGCCGGGCATGGGAGGTCCCCCACCGCCCCCAATGCCCGGCATGGGGGGACCTCGACCGCCCCCGCCACCTGGTGGTTTCATGGCGCCGAGGATGGTATGTATAATTTTATTAAACTTAACTAAAATTACAGAAAATGTCACTGTGTCTACAGACCGAACGTTTGTTCAAAATTTCCGAATGGAAATACTATAAAAACAGTAATATCGTTTCATCACTCGAAAATTTGAAATAAAAAAAAAAGGTATCAATAAGACACATCACTCCATCTTGGAACGTATCGATATATTTTAACGTAGGTATGCACAAAATTTCGATCCGAACTTAAAATAGGTAGATAATTTATGGTCATTTTGCAGATAATTTACTTAAATTTGATAGTTGCTGTTTCAATTATTCTGCTGAACTTTAACTCGATTTATGCTTCTAGCCGCAACCAGACGTTCTTCCTCACGGTCTCAAGCCAAAAAAGAAGTGGGAAGTGGAAGGGCCCCTCAAGAGGGCAAATTGGAAGACGATTATTCCGCAGAAGATGTCGGAAAAGGCGTTCTGGGTCAAGGTAACCTTTTTAGATATTAATTTTAATTCCAACAATACTTATCTAACCCCTAATTTATATAATTAATTATTAAATAATAATACTTTATAGTTGTGTGGTCCCGGCGTAGAATAAGTTACCCCTTCCTTTCCCGTGGTTGTCGTAAGAGGCGACTAAGGTAGGGCGAGGGATGGGCAGTAGCGTCCCTATTAAAACATCTCTAAAGTCTAAGTGCGGTTGTCAATTTGTCTGCCAAGTGTGGCAACTTCTGGTAAAACCCCTTAAGGGGAAAGCTTATTTTCAGGAGTGAATAGTTAAAGGATGATATGATGATGAATAATTTATAGAATATTAAATAAAAAATTCATTTTAGACTTTTTAGACAAAAATACTTTAATTAAGAGGGAATAATTGTATGCATTAGGTTCAAGAAGACAAGTTGGCGTCACCAGACATTCTCAATGGACTTGCGCAGAAGTTCTCCAGCAAACCCGTCGCCAAGAAGAACGAGGACTCTGTCGATAAGTGAGTTTACTTCATCACCACACCCCTTTCATGCTATGCCCATTCATCTAACTTTTTTTATACTACTGAGGTGGCAAACAAGCATACGCCCCACCTGATGGTAAGTGGTTAACGTAGCCTATGAATACCAGGGGCATTACGCGCGTTGCCGATCCTGAAGAAGCCTTTTTACCCCCCTTTTGGCTGCATTTGTACATCTAATGGTGACAAACATAGTATAGTATTCTATATAAAATACTTGTTCCTTCTCGGCTTTTGTATAAGTAGATAGTCTAAGAATCTTTATTTTCTTTTAAATAAATTACAGCTCATGTTATTCACTAATAATGTTGGATTTAAGGTATCGATGAAGTGACGACTTCAAATGCATTACAGAGAGTTAGTAGATACAGGTGGTTCAGAACTATTCTTTATGACAGTCTATTGGGGAAGCCTATGTTCAGCAGTGGACGGATAATGGCTGAGATGATGATGTGGCATTCTATAGATGAAAGGGTTTTTGAATCGGTTAAATATTTTTTTAGTTTATTATAATTATTTTAGTATAAATATGCCTATGTTTTTGCAAATTTATTTTATTATCAATTGATTGATGGATCATAATAAGTTTTAAAAGTATTAGTGATAGTCTACTTGTTTATACTATGATTAGCAAACAAGCTGATGGCCTATGTGATGGAATACGATAACTGCCTCCTATAGATTAGAACAGTACCATAAACATGGATTTTGTCCATATTAGTTAATGATTTATTCTTATATCTCATATATATTTGACATTATTAAAAAGGAAAAAAATATTGATAAAAGATTTTTTTGTATTGATCATCATACATGTATTTTTCCAGAGTGCCAACCCTGAAGAAAGTTAAAGATCTAAAAGTGCTGGATAGTAAAGCAGCTCAAAGTCTATCTATATTATTGGGCGGATCTCTAAAGCATATGTCGTATGAGCACATCCGTACATGCATACTCAGATGCGATACAAACGTGTTGACAGCGAACGTACTAGATCTGTTAATACAGGTATGTGTCATTGTATACACTTCTGAAATATGAAAATTTACACTCTTTGTGCACGCACGCACTCACGCACGCACACCCACACATCCACTCAGACACACCCTATAACGTACGGTATTTTTTTTTTGTATTATCTAATAGGAAACTAACTAAAGTTCCATCTGGATGAGTGACAGTTATTTTTCTCAATGTCCTCTACCCAAAGGTTGTCTGGAAAGGATTCCTTAGCGATAAGGCCGTCTTTTGTGTCTCTTCTCATTAAAATTTACTGTTTTAATATTTTTATTTGTCGCAATAAAGTGTAAATAAATAAACAAATGTTTGAATCAACACGACATTTTCCAGTATCTACCAACAGCGGATCAGCTCAAAAAGTTAGCGGAACTGAAATGCAAAAGTGAAGAGTTGACGGAAGCGGAACAATTCGCGGCCACGGTGTCCGATATAAAGAGGCTGGTGCCGAGACTGAGGAGTTTGGCCTTCAGGGAACACTATCAGGAGATCATATCTGAAGTCAAACCGGTGAGTTGTCAATACCTTTACTGGTCCATTAAGCCGTGACAGGTAAATTGATGGAGGCAAGAAATTTATAAAGAGTGAAATTGAAGTTGTTAGCTGTAGGAAACATTAAGAAGACGAGTATTAAAACGTAAAGTTCCTGAATCAAAATTAAAAAAATACAAAAATTTTGAGCCTTCCTCGTACTAACCCTCCCTCTATTCGTTGATGGAGTCGGCATCACTGGCGGGTTCGTGGGATAAATGAGACAGCAATATCGGATGTCTCATTCCGACTCGCGGACTCGTTGACAATATCGATTCCATCGACGAATTCGCTTGCTGCTTCTCTGGAGGGCTAGGTCTATTTTCATCATGATGGGCTAATTGACTTGTATAATATTTTTCTCTCCTCACCTATCATCACGCGCTTGGGTATACCGATAGAGCTGGCGGGGTTACCATTCCATCATCATCCATTAATAAAAAAATCTCCTCCCCTACTAAATTAATAGGGGATGCGCTGTTTGTATGGGGACTCAAAGTTTTAGCGCGTTTTGATCTACGTTTCTTTAGTAAAAAAAATTAATTTGGATAGAAAAAATAATATTAATAGTAACACAATCCATTTCTTGTCACAAGACAGAGACAGCTATGTTAATGAAAGACAATGTTTATTGCATTGGTCTCGTAATAGTGCATGGAAAATGTTGTAAATCGTCGAATATATGAAGTGATTATTAGAAACAAAAAACGTATTCAAAGAGAATTGGTAACAAAAACTGGAATATTTTGTCTTACAGGATATAGTATCGGGTACTGCGGCGTGCGAAGAGGTGAAATCGAGCGGAAAGTTCGCGAAGATTCTAGAACTGTTGCTCTTACTGGGCAACTACATGAACACAGGGTCCAACAACGCGGGTGCATACGGTTTCGAGATCAGCTTCTTGACTAAGGTTTTTAAATTTATAAATTTAATTTTATAATTTTCACACCTTGTAATTTAAAATGTGAAAATTTATTTATAAATATACTTTATAGTAAACTAGGAAATTAGACGCAATGTGACACTGATGGAAAGTTTGACAGACATAGCAACCGAATTTCTTATTGTAGATACCTATTATACATTTTGTGAAATTTCTATAAGACCTTTTCATGCAAATTGGTGAAAACAGTGATGCTGAACAGGATATTGTTTTAAAAACATAAATAATTACTGTTTTACAGTTAACAGCAACAAAAGATCTGGAAAACAAACAAACCCTGCTGCATTACCTAGTCGAGACGATTGAGAACAAATTCCCGGATGTGCTCACGTTTGCAGACGAAATGCCACACATTGACAGGTAAAATTAACGTACATTATCGTTATTTTTTATTATTATTTTATTGCATCTTAAAATAATAGTATTTTATGTATTTTAACTGCAAAAGGCTAATAAAATGTATATAAAGATAACTTGCACATGTCCGTTATCCTATTTTTTTTATGGGTGAAAATGGAATAGTAACTCCGCCTGCGTTAACGGGATACGCTGGCGGAGCACCAGTTAAGGGTGATAGATGAGAATGAATTATCCGTTATCCTATTAGTATAATAAATACGATATTTATTATACTAATAGGATATTTGCTGCTTTTTCACGAAAAAAATAATATATAGGAAATAGCTAATTTGGAATAATCCTATAATAATTACAATAAATTTGAGAATAAATAAAATAAAATAATATTTTGTTAAGTTTTAAGAAGGTTTATAGAAGGTTATCAGCGGTCATTTAAATAAAAAATGTACCTATCATGGTTATAACCAAAGAGAACATTTCGACTATAATTACTTAACAGCCGATGCCCCATTTAATCCAGTATTCGTTTTTGATAATACGCCTTGCTTTTATAATACAGGGCAGCGAGGGTATCCATGGAGAATCTCCAGAAGGCGCTGAAGAAAATGGAGAACGATATAAGAGCTCTCGAGACGGATCTGAACAACTCGAGGGTTCCGCAGTGTCCCGACGATCTGTTCCATGAGTCTATGAGTGTATCCTTTGTATTTCTTGAATATTTTATATTTTCTTTTATATCGCATAATTAAACTACTATCTAAGAGGTCCACCTGATGAAAATGCAGCTTCAAAATTAAGTAATTGGTAAAGTATAAAAAGATCTAAACATTGCTCCATAATTGAATGAAAGTAAAACGCTAAGGGAAATGAGAACTATTCTCCTACAGGAAAAGTTCATTCTGTAATAAAAAAAAATTACTCTAACTTCACAGTACAAAGAAGTAAGTTGTGTTGTTACTTTTGTAGATCAGTCTTTATAACATTACTATTACATTTCCTTAACGAATATTACAGTCGTTCGCTAAAGAGGCCCGTGAACAATGCGATCTGTTACATTCAATGTGCCGCAAGATGGAAGCATTGTACGGGGAACTGGCTGAATACTATGTATTCGATCCACATAAATACACTCTAGAAGAGTTCTTTTCGGATATCAAGACGTTTAAGGACTCGTTCATGGTGAGTTATGAATAATATTGTCATTGTTTTATAAGCAAATGTGTCTTCAGCGATAGAGTGATACGTTAACCGCTGAGGTCGACTCAATTTTTATTTATGAATCAAAATAGCATTTTGACTTCGTTAAGATCAGCGCACATAGCCTCTGCATCTTTTCATACTTAAGTTCGCCTACAAGAATAAGCTAGGCTAAGTAACTGAACTATATGATGTATAATAAAGAATAGAAAAGACAAAATGCTAGGTCACCTTATACGACATGACGATTTTTTAAAGAGCATACTAAAAAGAACAATAGGGGGCAAAAAAGAAAGGGGAAAGTCGAGAAATAACTATGTGGAATGAATAAAGCAAAAATTAGGTGTCATGTCGTATAGGTAGGTTAACGATATGCCCTGGAACAAAGCTGACTGGAAGAGAATACATGAATTAGTTGCCCCGACAAGAGGAAGCCTTCTATATAAACGATAATAAATAAGTGCTCTTTGCGACGGATAATATGCGTTACTCTATCTTTTATTTTCACGTTTCAGTATATTTTTAATGGGATAAATATGGTACGGTAACCTTACGCTTTTAATATACGCTAGCAGTTTGTCTGTCAGGGACAATAGGTGAGAATAAAAACAGGTCAGTTACTTCATTGTGACGAATTCGACCGAAAATACTAAGTTAATTAAGCTAAGCTCTCAGAGTGATCTGCAGCACGCACCAAAGATTGTTTTATGGCTGAGATTGACTTATTATGCGACTGCACAAAAAAGGAGTGTAATGTTTTCGTGGTTCATGTATGTATGTCAGTTTTTTTTATATTCCATCATAACTTCTAAATGTTTCGTTTTAGTATGCTGAGGAAAATGTACTTAATAATACCAGTTTACGACTGTGTTATTTATTTATTATTTATTGGCTACATTACAAAAAATGTCTGGTACAAAAGGTAAGCGTTCTCTCTTAGTCAAGCTTTGGCAAAACAGAAATGTTATGTGTGTAGACGGCGCACCACGAGAACGTGGTGGGGCGCGAGACAGAGGAGCGCGCGCGCCGCGCCAAGGAGGCGCGCGAGGTGGCCGAGCGTGAGCGTCGCGACCGGCAGCTGCGCTACAAGCAGTTCGTCGACATGGAGCGCGCGCAGGACGGCGTCATGGACAGGTGCATACACGGCCACACACCACACACCACACACCCACACGCACACCGCACATGACACACCCACACCGCACACCACACACTCACACCGCACACGACACACCCACACCCACACCGCACACGACACACCCACACCCACACCCACACCGCACACGACACACCCACACCCACATTGCACACCGCACACCGCACACCCACACCGCACACGGCACACCCACATCCACACTCACACCCCACACGGCACACCCACACCCACACCCACACCGCACACGACACACCCACACCCACACCGCACACGACACACCCACACCCACACCCACACCGCACACGACACACCCACACCCACACTGCACACGACACACCCACACCCACAGCGCACACGACACACCCACACCCACACCGCACACGACACACCCACACCCACACTGCACACGACACACCCACACCCACAGCGCACACGACACACCCGCACCCACACCGCACACGACACACCCACACCCACACTGCACACGACACACCCACACCCACAGCGCACACGACACACCCACACCCACATTGCACACCGCACACCCACACCGCACACGGCACACCCACATCCACACTCACACCGCACACGGCACACCCACACCCACAGCGCACACCGCACACGACACACCGCACACCCACGACGCACACGGCACACGACACACCGCACACCCACACCGCACACGGCACACACACACACACACACCCACACCCACACCCACACCCACACCCACACCGCACACGACACACCCACACCCACAGCGCACACGACACACCTACACCCACACTGCACACCGCACACGACACACCCACACCCACACCGCACACCGCACACCGCACACCCACACCGCACACGGCACACACACACCCACACAGCACACGACACACCCACACCCACACCGCACACCGCACACCCACACCGCACACGGCACACACACACCCACACCGCACACGACACACCCACACCCACACCGCACACGACACACCCACACCCACACCGCACACGGCACACCGCACACCGCACACCGCACACCCACACCGCACACGGCACACACACACACACCCACAGCGCACACGGCACACACACACCCACAGCACACACTCTTCTCCTTACATAACTGAGGCTAACGCCACACGAAACCGATCTTCGATGTTGTATTTTCGACGACGGAACGTCAGTACGTCAAATTGCATAAAATTAACTAATACGGATTACACTGCGTGCAAGATCGGTCATTATGTCGACGTAGTGCTACTGTTTTGCTTGCACCTGGCATCTGTTTAGTTGTAGGCTTGCGGATCTTCCGCACAGGGATGATAGGTATCGATAATTGCGTGTCTTCATATGTGACAGTAAATTAGGTAAGTTCAGTAAATGGTACGCGTTACTGTTCGTGTTAGGAGGAATTCATATTCATTCATATAACTGAAGACAGGACCAATTTATGAGCTCTGTTCGCAATCACCGTTTAGGCTTATTCCATATTTAATATTTAAAAATAAATCTTTTTTTATACAATGTCAAACAAGCCAATGGACCACGTAATAGAAAATGGCAAATCCATCCATTTTCAGTCGCTGATCTTCCGTCGCGGAAATAGTGTCTCTGTATAAACTCGTAGATAAAACGGTGTTTGTTATCAAACTCCTCCGAAACGGCTTTACCGATTTTTATAAAATTTTGTGTGCATATTGGGTAGGTCTGAGAATCGGCCAACATCTATTTTTTATACCCCTAAATGATAAGGGTGACCCTCCCCAAAATTTTTTTTTATATTTTTAACAAATTTTTTCCATTTTTATTTTATTATGATTTAGCATTAAAAAATACACACAACTTTAAATTTTCATCGTTTTACGATCAACCCCTTTTAATCGCGATTTTTATATTTCGCAATAAGTGATAAAACAACGTTTACGGGGTCAGCTAGTAATAAATATATATATTTTTAGATCCAACTGCGACTATTAAAATGTTACATTTATTTTTCAGTTTAATGGAGGCACTGCAGAGTGGATCGGCGTTTAGCAGAGAACGACCAAGGAAGAAAGCAAACCCACGGGCGGCCGGAGGTAATTACATTTCTAGTCTTATATATAATATAGTACACATTACATTTGGGTTTTCAATAATTAATAATTCATATACAATTTCACACTGGCATTTTTATTTGCAATTAGAAAAAAAAAGAAACTAAATGATTTGTAATCATAATAACCTTTCATAAATGTTTCAATACATTTCATTAATGTATTTCACTTTTTTAAATATGTCTAAGTTATATAAATGTTCACTGGCACATTATATTTTAGTTGCTTGAAGCAACACGATTCTTCACGTTCTTTAGATATAAACTATTAATTCGTTAGTATTTTTAATATACTGCACATATCATTATCATTATCATCATCATATTAGCTGTGAACATAGGTCTCTATCTACGGGTGCTTTGTCAGTGGCTGCCACACTAACTATTTAAAAGAAGTCTTATTCTCTTTTTCATTAAAATTAAAATAAAATGTCTATAACTTTTTTTATTTCAAGAAATTAGTCTAAAGATAAAACACTTCGTTAATAAAAATAGGTTTATTAGACGTTTAAGATTTTTAAGATTAAGGAGGATGGTGTCTGTTATATTTAGCATAATTTCTTAATAATTTAATGGTATCCCATACATTTTTATTTCAATACATTTCACAATATTAGTTCATAATTTTTTTTTATATACCTACGTACTATGACATATGTACATGTTTGTGGAATTTTGCACGCTCACTAGTAGAGGATCTGATTGAGGATATCGTGGACGAAGACGGTGTAGTGCATGCGATATTGCACAGAATCGAAGGTGGGTCGACGACATTAGTGCACTCCCCCCAACTCCCTTTCCCCGAAACATGTACTTGGCTGTATATCTATTAGCTGAACTCCAAATGTATGGAATAGACACATTATTAGGATATGGCACTTATCATCTTACAAAATTAATTCTACCATATTATGATACTTAGACTCTAGTATGATATTAGGTAAAGTTATATTTTTTACTCCTCTTAGTATATAAAAAACCCGTATTCATATATAAAAACACAATATTTTCCGAAACCGTTCAACTGATTATAAATAAAAATTGTCTATTATTTAGATAGATAGCATAGTTTTCATCCCGATAATGGAAAAATGAACCCGGAAGGGGTCTAAACGTTTGTCGGGTCAGCTAGAATATTAATAAGTTTATTAACTGTATAATATTTACCCAGCGGGACTTCATGCGATAAATTTTTTTTGAGCAGGTGTGTAGGTTCTATTTACCTGCAAAAAAATTCATTTCGTTAAATCTCGCTAATGTATTTAAATATAAGTAAATAACGTGAAAATTTAAAATTGACTATGTAATATTATTTATAATACTTGTACTTGAATTTTAATAAGTACATATTTGTCAATCTTTGAATTGACAGGTTTCATTTTTTTAAAATACTACCTTTTACCTGCGACTTTGACCGCGAGACCGAGAAATAATCACTGACCGGGATAAAAATTAGCTTATATCCTTCTCCATCCCAAATAGTACGTGTGTACTAAATTTCATAGCGATTGGTTAAGCGGTTAAGGCGCTATAAGGTAACAAACAAGCTCACTTTCACATTTATTAGTAAGGATTAAACTTAAAGGACTACAGTCGCGAGCTAATGTCTTGGAATACAAATAATAAGCTCATATATATTGTTTATAGATTTTACCACAATGTAGCCACGCGGAGCACAGTGTACTGTTTGCAACATTAAGTATTGTTTGTTTTTTGGTTTTATAATAATCGAGTGATTTCCTTTTAATGCCATAATTAAACATTGACTGGACTATTAGCACTCTTACCCTACTTTTTTTTTATAAGCAAATAACAGTATACAAGGTGTAAATTGTATTGAAAAATACAAATCCTAAAAAGAATGTTTTTAGCATTTGAATTTTCAAATCAATTCTCGAATTCTGCGAAGACTTTTATTCGACTATATTTTTTGTGTGTTTATACCTTGTATATAACTGAATAATGTGTATTATTGAATTGAAGCTTGTTGTACAATTAACAGTTTTGTTAATTTAATATTAATGTGGCCTTTTTTTTTAATGTATTATGTACTAAGTTTTTATACTAATATAATTAATTATAATATACTTAATTAAATCTAATGTGTTTCCCGATTCCTTTAACGCAATTTTTTTTAAAGTGTCGAGTTAATAGGCATTATTTTGAATGTGTGTGTAACACCTTAGACCTCACCGTCACTTAACATCTGGTGAGATTTTGATCAAATGCGCTCAAGTTTAACGTAAAAGAAATTTAGCCATCAAATGCTTGAGTTTTGCTTGGTGTTTATCTACTTAATTTTATTGACATGGTAGAATGCATTTTTTTTTGTCATAAACAATATTCATAAACAAATTTTCATTACCTTGTAGAATTAATTTTGTTATATACTAGTTTTTTTTACAGACTCTGTGTTAACAAGGTATCCAAGTAGGTTACTCATGGGAACTATCCCCTGAAATATATATGTACATAATATAAATATAGAACCTTAAAATATATTGAAAAATTTAACGTCCTATCAACTCGATCCGACGGAATCCGAACCCACATCTATGTTATCCAGAAGGCATACTATCAAGTAGTTTTTTCAATCTCGTGAACGTTACTAATCACCATCGTGAGAAGTAGGCGCCATCTATCGTGTTAATGAATTATTATTTTACCCCTTGTGTTCTATATTTTTCGGATACCTTTGCGTCAACTTTATATGTTATATATTTTATTCTTAAACATGTCCAGCTGCTAAAATGATATAGGGGGTTCAAATTTTTATTGACATTTTTCGACCCATGTTCCTTGTTTGAAAATATTCAAATTCATTTGTAGAATACTTCCTTGAAAGGATGCTTGTAATTCCAATATTATTCTGTATATACATACATATTTAAAATATAATATTTTCATATGTGGTGTATTAATATTGGTAACAATTTTTCAGCTGAAAGGAGGGCGCAACTTAGTCGGTCGAGATCTCGGTCAGGATTGACGGGGCCGATCATTACGCGAGAATTAACCAAGTATGATTTATTTTATTTATTTCTATTAACATATATTGAACTAATAAGTTTTTTATGATGAAAATGGAATGGCAACCCCGCCTTCGCTAACTGTACACGCTAGGGGGACACCAGTGAGAGATGATAGATGAGAATGAAAACAAACCAATAAGCCCATCGTGATAAATTCATCAGAAATTAACCATGATAGTTTCCAAAGGGAAGAACCGTGTGGAAGTCGACCTGATTGCGTATATTTCTAGCAATGGGGTTCTTAATCCCCTTTACTAACGATCTCTTTCCCCCCTGAACTAATAAATTAGGCAAATAAAGCTGTCGTCTAACTAAATCATCTTGTGTAAAACACATAATTTTACACAAGTTGTTTGTTGAAAATGGAGGTTTAAAAAATAACTGTGAGATTACAGATTAGTTAAGCTTGTAGCATCTCAGTATTCATGAGGGGTTAAATGGGCTTTACAGTGTCTCTTGTAATATCTATGGTGCTGTTCAAGTCTATAGGCAACGTTTATCATTTCAAGTGGACTGTTTTTTGCTTTGAATTTAAAAGAAAATACTGTATTGTTGCTTGTTGTAATTGTAATACCATTGAGTAAAAGATATGAGAATTTTTTTTTTTATTTATTATAAATAAATATTGTTCCAGTGAGCTGCTCAGCAATGCGTGATGTTCAAGCTCATATCAAGTGATATTAGTACTATGTATATTAATTTAGTTTTAAGTGAAATAATAAAAACGAGAATATTAAATTGTGCCTAAGGACTGTTTCAAATTGGACGAAGCGCTAAATGTCCAAGACAATATTACATTCAAGATAAGTTATCGTAACGTAAAATCATTTTATAATACCATTAATTTAATATTTGTTGGCCACTACTAGACATCGGGTTCTTCCACATATTACCACAGAGAACGATCCTTAACTACTTAGTAAAAGTTGCTTCACCCACTCATTGTATATTATTGATACTTATAGAATGACCGTATAAAGTGAAAATTTATTCATGCTCAAATAGTTTATAACGGTTTATAGTTTATATATATATATATATATATATATATATATATATATATATATATATATATATATATATATATATATATATATATATTCTGACTACATCAGTTACTTCTGCGCACATCGTTTATAAATAAATACTAAACATTTCTTCCATATATTTAGTTTTTTTTATTTAAAGAAATTTACAAGAGACTGTCTTGGCTTTTTTTTAACGCGTTACCATTTTTCGTGTATTACTAATGTAAATTTTTTGAATATTCGATAATATTAACAAAAATGCAAGGATATATTTTGAAAGCTAGGTTTATTTGCACTTCGTCGAGTTTGAATAGGGCCTTTTTTAATTTTGGCCGTAAATAATGCTATATTCAGTTTATGTAAATTGAAAATGATAAATCAGAATTCAATTAAATGGAGAAAATTACTAAAAACGATGAAATAGTAACATGAAACATTCCAGTGATTGCCTCATCGCTCGTTTTAATATTTTTTAACGATGATTTTTTTAAAGTGTTACGACAGCTTGTGTGCTGTTATAAAATGATCTAATGTGTTTTTATCGATCATATCAACGATTACTATTGTATTTAATAAATAAAAGTGGTCGCTAACTCGCACATCAGGATAAATCTTTGAATTTTTTGTCTAATTTCTGTGTATAAAATTTAAACAAAAAGAACTATTTTAAAAATTGAATTAACAAAAATATCACAGAGAAAAAATAAACAGAATGTATTCTGACAAGATATTGTGTCATTATTGAAGATTTTTGTGTCAAACGTAAACGTAGTATGAACACAGGCCTATTAGATTTTCTTATTTAATAAAATTTTTAATATGGCTGTATACATGTCTACTTAATATAATTTACAACAATTATAAAAATTTCCACTTTCAATTAAAGTGGAGTTCTGTAAAAGCAAAAGTACGAAATACAAAATACGAAAGACAAAAGTTGCTCAAATGTTTTCCCTTTCTGACATTCCAAAATGATTGTTCTACGTTTGACGTAATGAGATACAATAAATATAAGAATAAGAAACGAGGGCGCCACTGTGCACACAGGATTTTATACATTTAACAGATGATATATAATAATGTCTAAATTATCTTAAAATATTTTATGAAATTAAAATAAAGTCTTCTAAAGTCCAATATAACGAACTGTGTTAGCTAAAAATAAAATATTATGTAATAAATTTATTAATTACTATGTAATCGTACAGGTTTAATCATACAATATGTTAATAAACGTAATCCATTCCTTAAAAGTAGTGTAAGTATTCATTAATAGGGTCTCAAGAAATATGTTTTGACTTCCTACAAAAAAAAAATAATAATACAAAAAAAAATCATTAAAATTCTCTACTACTAAGAATACTAATACTAGTTTTAAGGATTTGGTTACGTTAATTATACTATATCGGTAACACTAATTGCTTATACATTGTTTCCTAAATAGTTATTCGCTTTACTAGTGCAATTAATAGAATAACATAAAGTAAAATCAGTATCAGGTATGTAATAACAGAAAGTGAATACATTAAGCGTTTATTGTAATAAATTTTAAATGTAAATAATATTTTACAGCAAAGATGTAAAAAGAGCGTATTAAGGTTTGTTCAAGACTGGCAACGCGCACGTGATACCCCTAGTGTTGTAGGCGTCCGTAGCCTATAGTGACCGTTTACTGTCAGACGGGCTGTATGCCTGTATGCCTTTGCCACTTTCATGGTATAAAAAAAAAATAAGTATTCGAACTTTTAGAAAAATATTTTCTGATACTGATTGTACAATCACTTTCATTGTGGCTTCGAAATAAATTTTATCCTCTGTCTTTCCAATCGTACGTAATGTTTGAATATTAGAGCTACGTAAACTTTATTAAAAACACATATAGTTGTTTAATACATTAGCAGCATTAAACTTTATTTTTAATTGTATCAATGTTAAAGTCGAGTCTGAAGTTTATTTCTCAAGCCTAGATATTTCTAAAATCATAAAATAGTTGAGCGAAAATTTTATGTACGACCACCAACATTTAAATTTAAAATAATTTTGTCTCAGATTAGAAATTTTGGTTATTACTGAAGTTGTACCCCTTCAGAATCGATATCATCGTCGCTTTAAAAAATTTAAAGACCTAATTGTAGTAAGACTTGAATGCTGTTAGCAATTTATATGGCGAGTGAAAAGTTTAATAACAGTCTTCCATATTTGAATGGAAATATTTCTTTTTTTAAACACCTATTGTATCATAATTTATTAACATAAATTTCACCGAACCGCTTATAAAATTTTATTTTTATGATAAAAAAAAAAAAAACATTTTAACAATATTCTAAGTCAGTTACAAATATTACAAGACACATTACAAGGTTTAATTTTATTATTATAGCAATGAAGTTTTATGAGTGTTTAACTATTTCTAGAATTTGGCTGACGTCTTTCAGTGATAAAATACATCACAATTAAGACTGTCGTGAAAAATATACGCTTTATTATTGATGGAGGGGATCAAAATGAATATATTTTTTACATTTCTTTCAAATATGTATAAAGGGCTATAACGATGTATATTAATTTACATTTATTTGATCCCCCAATAAGCAAATATGTAGCATAAAGAGGAAAATGTAATATTTTACGCAGTCACGTGTCTCAGCTGTCTTATGTTTATGAGAGGATTAATACTAGTCCTATTTTTGATCCATTATATTTAGTCTTATATTATATAAATAGAGAATGCCCATGCAAATACTTTACCATTCAATAAGTTATTTTTTTTATCTATTTGTACATGAATAGGATTCCAATAATATTTAATTAATAAATGTGTATTAATTTGTAACCAATACGAACTTGCTGTTCTTAAATTGTTGCATGCCTGATTAGGTATAACTGTTGATACTGATGTCAAATCCAAAGCAATGGTTACTGCTATATGTATGTACACAGTTAGCAATAAAATTCTATTCTATTATGTATATTTATTTATGTAATATACCAGAAGAAATGGTTCCCAATTAGAATAAAAAAAAATAGACTTGGTCTGGGAAGTTTTTAATTACTTGCAACCCAGAAAAAGGGCGCATTTTGTTTTAATAAAAAAAAAGTGTCAACTTGAGCCTTTAAAATTTCAATTTAGCTGACTACATGTTTACGAATACGTTTTTGACACCAGATGCTCTATCTATATAATCTAAGATTATCATCATCAACGTAAGACATTTTTAATTTAGGTGGTAATTTAGTGGCTAGCAGTCAGATGGCAAAAAAAAAGTAAACAAGCTTTATTTTTTTTTTATAAATGGGTTTAAAGCCCATGTTTTATTTGTGCTCATCTTGGAATCACTGTTTCATCTACAGTGACCTCTAACTGTTATAAAGACCCCCAAATAAAAAGACTGTTACATGTCGTAATGTCTATGTTTTACTCAAAATTAGCTTTAAGCTATTTGAGTGTTGTAACCTCCATTTTAAAATTATTCGTAACGCTGTCTATTCTCTGTTCATTCGAATTACGAAGATTTGTATGTATATAATGACAACGTATGCAAAGTTCTAATAATATGTAAAAAAGTTATTATATAGTTAAATTTTTTTCTTTTATTTTTAGCGTCGAAAGATGTATATGTAATTTTTTAATTATTTTAATAACTACTTAATTTAGTTTTATATAGTTAATCATCGTAAGGACGTAGTTTAGCGCTATTCTTATATTAATTATACATGTAAATATATTTTTGTAAAATGTTGCATTTTTCATTGATTAAAATGTTTTTAAAACTAGAATATTTTATTATTGTTACCTTTACTTTTTTTTTTTCTTTAATTTGCCCAAAATTGCCAACTACAACAGACAGGAAACAGGACGGGAAATGAAGGAACGTATAGGAGAACGTTTAGATACTGAAATGAAAAAGTATTTCATATCGCCACTTACTCCTAAACTGAGCAGTTTTTTAGGTAATTAAAAAAAAACCTAGTCAGTTGTACAGTACTTTCGCATTTTAATTTAGTAATACCTAATGGTTAGTCTTTTCGGAGCAAAGCCTTATTGTAAACAAAATCTATATCGAATGTAAACATAATCAGTGATTTCTATATGGAAGTCAATTTTTACATATACTAGTGCAATAACTCACGGTTAATTATTCATAAATTAATTAAAAACCTATCATCCAAATTTTTTTTATACAACTTAGAATGGCAAACAAGCTGACGGCCCACCTGATGGAAAGTGGTAACCGTCGCTTTTAGACATGAGCAGTACCATGGACATAACAGAGTATACTGTTTCGCCTATGATACCCCCCATGCGGTGCTATCCTGAGGACTCGTGTGTTATTTCTCTGAACCCTGTAAATTCACGCCATATCCCACCCTTCAAATCGAAACAGCCATGCAAACACAACTGCTTCACGATTGAAACACAATTAGGACAGAGGTACCCAAGCAAACGATTTGTGCAGTCTCCCTCTGGTAAAAATTTGAAAAGAAATTAAATTTCTCTATACAGTTTCGTTCTAAATACCTCAGAAGGATACAAATATATAGATAAGGATATGAATATAATTTCTTGAATCAAACAATTTCAAATTTTAAAAAACCCACTTTTAACAGTGAAAGTGGAACTATCTAAAATGCAACTTTTGCAATATCATTAGAGAGTATAAAACAAAGTCGCTTCCCGTCTGTCTGTTCTTGTAAATGTTTAGATCTTTAAAACTACGCAATGGATTTTGATGCGGTTTTTTTAATAGATAGAGTGATTCAAGAGGAAGGTTTATATGTATAATACATGCATAATATAGTAGAGGAACTCTGACGATTTTAGAAGTTTCTATTGTGAAGTAATGTGCACACGAGCGAAGCCGGGGCGGGTCACTAGTAGGTCATATAACAAGGTACAATAACAAACGGTTATTGAGTATGTAAATAGGCAAATAAAGGATGATAATATGTTACCGTTACCTTAATAAAACTATTTATAGCCCGTACTACGAACGAGTTAAAACCATGTTTTCTCTAAATAAATCATATTAGATGTAGTGTTATTTGGAACATTTGGCAACCTCTCCGATGGGCGTTACCTACCACCGCAATTATTGTCACGCCCATATCTCAAATGCGACTATCTTTCATGTATAACAGCGTCGCGATATTGCTATACACATGAGAGAACAGAAGCGCTATAATAAACTGCATTATCAACCAACTTCAAAAAGAAAGAGGTTCTTAATTCAATTGTATTTTTTATGTTTGTTACCTCATAACTTCAAAAGTAGACCGATTTGGAAAATTCTTTTTCTTTTATTTGAGAGATTATATTTACAGATCCTATAGAAATCTTGTCAAAATCTGTTCAATAATTTAGTTTTCAAATCAAAAAAACTGATTATGCCACAATTGAAGTGATTTTTTTTATGGGACACAATCTTAATTACCTTATTTTAGTCAAATAAAAAAAATATGATTACGACTATAATACCTTATGAGTAAACAGACTCATTTATCTACTTTTGCTGTGGAGAAAAACGTAATCATGATGACATGATATCCCTTCTTTCCGCCGAGCATACAACGTAAGAGGTGGCGAGCCTACCGCTGTCGCTCGCATTATTTTTGTTAATAATATAATATTGTTTTGAAATTAGTGCTTCGGATGTTAGTTGGATAATTAAATTGACACAGTGGTTATTCAGATTGCTTAGTGTGAATTATCTGAATGTATCGATACCTATACTCAGCATTTTTTAGTCGAAGGGTAAACGGATGTCATGATTAGTTGTTCGCAACATTAGCCAAAATGCGACTTACAGGCGATCGAAAGATAATTTTCAAATTAATGAAACCGCACTAAGTACTCAGATACGAACTCACGACCTTTGCGTCAAAGTAAAGTAACATTAGAAACTTTTTTGGTCACTTGAAAATATAACCGTAAATAAAATTATAAAATAAAATATAACTATATAACCTAATATTCTATATCTATTACACAAGCCTATAACGTCGTCTTGGGCGGAGTCAAACCCAGAGCCAAGCAACGCCCATCGGCGCCGGCGCATATATTAGGCAAAATAAATTTCGCTTTAGTAGACGGCATTAGAACTATTGCATATTATTTTTGTAACATTAAACGATAGGTTATTTAAGAATATCTAATATACAGGTCTGGGGGAACGAAAATGTTAATAATGGGATCTAAATGATCCCTTGCTAGTAATCAGGTCGACCTCCACATGTTTCCCCCTGAAAACTGTCATGGTTAATTCTAGTAGAATTCGTCACGATGGGCTAACTGACCTGCCTTTTCATCCTCACCTGTCATCCCTTAATGGTACCCCGCCAGCGTATTCCGATAGCGCAAGCGAGGTTACCATTCCATTATAGTTTATTTTATCAACTGTAACTTTTAAGATTATAAAAAAAAAATATTAGGCGCCATATTTCCTGTTTCTAAAATCTGTCATTCGAGGATTCAGCCTGCTGGTAAATTTATCACTAAGTACTTACATGTCTAAAATTAATTAATGATATTATTATGGCAATTGCAACTGACTGCAGTTTTCAAATTAAAGGTTTTATCTACATTAATTGGGGACCAATTTTAATGTACTTATTAGATGGGTCGTTAGCTTGTTTGCCGTAGTTTTTTTTATGGGTGAAAATGGTATGGTAACCCCGCCTGCGCTAACGGAATACGCTGGCGGAGCACCAGTGAAGGGTGATAGATGAAAATGAAAACAGGCAGTGATACACACACAATACAGACAATGATAGTTTGCAGGGAGAACCGCGAGAAGGTCGACCTGGTTGGGTATATTGCTAGCAATGGGATTCTCAGTCTCTATTACTAACAATCCCTTTTCCCTCTACCTGTTTGCCGTAGTTGTAAGTATAAAAAAATGGGTAGGTCCCTACTATTAAAGAAACAAAAAGACAAGTTTATAATTTATTTATTGTCTACTTAGCTATTTAACTATTGATATGTATATAAAATCTCATGTCTCTGGTATTTTTCTACATTTTCTTAATATTCTGAATAAATATTTACATCATAGAACTTAACTTATTGTACCTAAATATATTAAATGGTTTTAGCAACAAATTAAATATTTGATTTTATTTTTAAGGTTGGTATTAATTTATTATATTTAACATTACTACAATTACGGAAGTACCTACTATTTTACTTATTTAAGAGTAACATTTTATTATACGTAAATATATTTGTTAATTTTGAGCAAATTCTATTTAGCATGTTTATGTAATGTCTACCTAAGCTTATTTTAAATTAAGTCCAAATCCCGTTGAGCATTCTGATTTGAATTGATATGTATTAAAAAAAAAAAAACAATAAAAATTATCATCGTAATACAAATACTATGAATGCTAAAACTGTCATGCATTCATTAATTTCTGAGTAATTCAAACCAAATTAAATTCGCATTTATTGCATAAAATTATCTAATTACCTACTTTCATTTGAGCATTTTACCCCATTTCTCCAGTATACTGTAATACCTAGCCCTCTAATATGTTCCAATAGGAATTGTCGGGCAAATTTTATATCTATCAATTGATCATTTATCTGCAAAAACATAAGAACAGTTTAAAGTTTGATGTTGCAGACTATGTAGCGCGCTATACTTTATATTTATGAAATAATTTAATAAATCGATTCCCGCAGTTACATAAACTACCTCAAACATATAAACAAACAACTTTTAAACCCACAACTGCTACCATGTGAGGCGGCCCCCGATTTCAAGATATTTTACACCGCCTTCGTTGCCAGACATGAAGGGCATTGATGCCAGAGACCTGGGGGTAGCCGACGCCTATGATGATTTCGGGACATAAGAGTTCGCCCCGAGGCCCTCATCTGAACTCTTCTAGGATGGCTGAGAAGACGCGGTCGTCGTTATACAAGGTCTCTAACATACCAATATGTTAAAGATCTTGTATAACCTCTACGTATCATACGAGCCTCTAACATTTTCTTTCCGGACAACCATTTACCTTGTTCTCCAAGCAATTGATAATTTGAGATGTTTATAATAATATAGACTAGGATTCCAACTTAAATATGTCGGATTGCTTAGGTATTATTTTTTTATCTACTACTGTAGGCAACAAATACAACCCTGAAGACTTGATTAATGATAATCATGACTATACCATATTTTAAGTCGCTTCTAGAGACAAATCTATTGATAGATACATTTTCGTTCACATATGTAAGAACAATACCCATTGTATTGCTGTCTTGTTCAATGTCGTTTCAATCGTTACAGATAACGTATCTATCGAATAATTCGTTCGCCACTTGTCTAGAATTTCACAAGAAATCTCAAGTAGATTTCTTATAACGTCTGGACACATTTTTAAACTTTCTAATCTATGGCCCACACCGTATATTCTTTAAGTAGTCTGTGAGCTTCAGGGTCGGCAACGCGCGCGTAATACCTCTGGTATTGCAGGCGTTCATAGGCTACGGTAACCGCTTACCATCAGGTGGGCCGTATGCTTGTTTGCCACCTCAGTGGTATAAAAAAAAAAAAAGAGCTACACTGATTTCTTCACTATGTACTAAGACCAAAGATTCAGCGAATCTGAATAACAAACCGATACCAGTACCAATTTCGGAGTACTTCTAGGCTCCAGTTTGAAGAGAAATCCCGGGTATTTACTAATGTATTGAAAGCTAAATGTTGTCCTTGCATGCGTCATGCGTGATTGTCTTTCACTGCTAACGCTTGCACGATGCACCGTAGTCTTGCAAGACTGTTAACTGCACAACTGGGGCTCTCATCTGGAACATAACATTTATCTTAAATATAAAGGAACGTCCAATATTTACGCGAAATTTAATTTTTTTATTTCAAACATAGATACACAGATACATTCAAGAAGAACTTCAAACATATAAAACTAAGTATTAAGTATGATTAAGTAAAATATTTCGTATTGTCCCGGCATAGAATAGGACGCCCCTTCCTTTCCTGTGGGTGTCGTAAGAGGCGAAAAAGGGAATGCGAGGTATGAGCAGCAGCATCCTTTCTTATAACATCTCCAAAGCCTAATTGTGGTTTCCAATCCGCCTGCCAAGCATTCAGCATTGGACAGTTAAAGGCTGATAATGATGATGATGAAGTGAAATACTAACTATTAAGGAATGGCGTCTCTTTTTCCATCTTGGTCTCCCGTGAGTCGCAGTGTGACCGGGCGACTGTCACCGGCGACTCCATGTAGCTCTTACAGCTTTCAGACTCCAACTGAGGAAAAGAAACTCCCTTACAGCCTGAACACAATTGCATATAAATATAAATTCATTATACATCCATAACATCCATTATCGTTTAAAAAGTGCACACCTTACTGTTCGGAAATAACATGACGTGGTCTCGAGGTTAGCACATTATATCCTGTACATATACATAACAGAATATAACATAATGGAAGGTCTACTATAAAACCTGATTTTTAAAAATCCAACCTGAATTCCCCGCATATAATGAAGCAACTTCAGAACGAAATTAAATGGATTAAGATTCATTATGAACTACACGATAAAGTTTCCAAACTATTGAAATGGTATCATTGTTAATAACATTTCTTTCTTTATTTTATTCAGCTGTAATTTTGTTCGGTTCTGAAATTTCGTGATTAACGTATATGTCAAATAAATGATGATTTACCTCTTTCGGTCAACTAATTTGCTATTTCTAATGTAGGTATTAAACTTTATTAGACAAATAAAAACAAAGAAAAAAATAACAAATTTAATTTTTATAAATAAAATAAAATAGCCATAAACTGTAAAAGCAAATCGGATAGTGTTAAGTACTCTATAATTTTAAATTTTATTTCTTAAAAAAATTGCAATTTTAGATTGTATGTGAGACTATTTTGAGTAGTCTATAAAGCGGGAGCAATTCATACCCGAATTCCGACCGTAAAAAATATCATAATCGGTCTATAATTAACAAAGATGTCGCATAACATATTTACAATACACATACATTAATGCGAGAAGTTCTCTATTCTCGTATTTGATGTGGCTTCGAAATACTAAACACACACTAAAATAAGCATCAAATGTTGGTTAAAACAATTTCGCTATCCACAACATTTTATGACCACCATATTTATTCCGTTATGGTCTTATTACAGACTGTCTACACGCGGTAGCAGCAATTAAAATAATTCGATATCTTCCCTCCGTCTTGTCTGATTCTATTTCGATGCGCGCGCGCACGTGTACCGATAAATAATCCGTGGACATGGATTAATGACAATTTAACATCGCGACACGCACATAACAGGGTTGTCAAAACTTTGTAATTTATTTTTTTATTTCGATATAACACAAACTGAAAGAGGGCATTGTGAAAGTGTTATACCTATTTTGGACCCCGGACAGATGGAAAAACAAACTATATATTTTTTAACTTTTACAGAAATAAATTAAAAAATTAGTTGTAAAACCGTAATTCTTCTGATGCAAATGAAATGCATGATTAACTAATTATATATAACTTAATACAAACGATGAGATAAATAAAAAAATACGTCTAGTGTTTTTAACAATTTTTTTTAATTCAGTTGACTATATTTATACTATTTTTTTTTTATTAAAAAATATAATTGCCAGTGTTTAAGTATAATAAAAAAGTATTAAATTAATTCAAAATCGAAACTCGGACACAGAGAAAGTGAGGCGGGGGGAGGGGTAGGATGTAAGTATACAAAAAAAGATTAATTAATTTTTTAAGCCTTATCATAAGTAATATAACACTATATCTACTAATATATTTATAAAGCAACTTTCAACATGCATATATCTTTTTTGTAATGGAGTGCCAGTGTCTCTTGTTGAATTATACTACTCAGAACTAAATATAAAATTATCAAATAAAATTCAGTACTCTAAATTCTATTATATACCTAGTTACCGACCGACTTATTAAGTCGGTCTAAAACGGTCTAACTAGGTATAAAAGTAAAAAGTAAAAGCATCTTGATAAAATAATAAAACTAAATATAAAACATAATATTTTGTAACAACCCTGAAAACAAGTGACGCGTGCACCACCGACGACGTTGCAAGATCGGTGCCTACAGAGCTTTTCGTTCATGCTGACCGGCATCTACAAAAATATATCAATATATTTATAATAATGGATTCTTTTCTATTAATGTAATTATAATTTTATTTCCATTTGTTATGTTCGCCGATGGCTTTATGTGCTGCAACGGTGAAAAGGTAACTCAAATATTAGGTGTTTTCAATTTTCCAATCTTCTAGAATCTAGAAAATAGCCTAGAGTCTAGACTAATTTCTAAAACTATATACATTGTAGATAAAAACAATGTGCTCATTAATAAAGTCCCTAATGGGTTCGACAGAGACATTTCTCAACTGTTTCTGTTATTGTAAACATAACCTTTGCATGTCCACATTTTGTCTAGCGTATGAGAATAATTTTGGTTTATTATCGATGGTGAAAATTTAAATTGACAAGCCTTTGATATTGGCTAGATTTTAAATCATGGCCTTTGTCTTTATAATCTATAAGTCGGAGTAAGTAGATTACTAATTGACTATTATTGGCTGACGACACTCTCTGCTTTCTATAATCGATGGTAATTTATGATTAAAATTTTCCTTTTCTTATTTAATTATAAATCACTTTATAAATTACCTTTCTTAAAACACCTCTCGTATATTACAGAACCTAAACATATCTGAACGGTACATTCATATCAAATTATTACAGCGATCTCCCGAACTGATGTCGCGAATCAAAACTTCTTTGACGGGAACGTTGTGACATATGCGCGCGCAGAAATAGCTATCCGGACAAGATGGCGGCTTGCACAAAATAATAAACATAATTTGATTCATGCTCAAGAGTATCAGGTTTAAAGGAATAGCGATATTGATACTCTACTTTGCATCCGAACTCAAATTGGTGCAACTGCACCTATAAACGTGGATACAGAAAACATAAACACAGATATGCACGAAGTGAACACAATACACGGTCAGCTCTTATAAACCTATTGTACTGGGATTTTTGTTGATGAAAATAAAAAGGATGAAGTCAAGCCATTTGGCTCATCGCTAGGAATTAAAAATGATGTTTTCCTAACCTTAACCTACCTTAGAGCATATTGCTAGTGATGGGGCTAGCCACCCCATTACTAACAATCCCCTACTGTAGCTACCTACCAGGGTTGTATTTCGATCTGAAGGATAAAATAGTCAAGATACATTTTATTTCATTTATTAAACATCTTACTATTCAAGAGTGACAAGCAACATTGAAAACCGCAAATTTGCAGTTACATCACAAAAAAAGTTTTAACAATTTTTTTAAATTTAATTTTGTAAAAAATCCTCGGGTTGTAAGTGTCTGACTTGGTTGGTTTTTATGAAGCTTAAAATAGTCAACAAGCATAGCGTATCTGATAAAAAGTAGTAAATGACATAGAATAGTACTTGGACATGAATACCGCCATGGACATCATAGAAATCATAGTGATTAACTAACGCCTGAAACACAGGTTTTTCATGCCTACCTCGGGAGTTAAAGACTTCACACTATTTTGTAACAACAAGTGAAATAAAGATTTATTACCTATTATTATTAGTGACGACTATGCGTTCCCTTTCTTGAGGACTAAAAGTTCAGTTGCCTTGGATTTCATTGCCATATTCTAACTTTTAAACCGAAATACAATCGTAGAAGCTGCATCATGGTAGAAACACAAATGTAATAAAGGTACCCAAACAGGTGACTTTTGTACAGCCTTCCTATCTATCTATCTATCCATTTAAGAGCTGCGCTCTTGTCGGTACAGCCTTCCTAAATATACAAAATTTATTTATTATTCTGAACTTATTATAAACTTTTTCATACAATTTTGCGCGATAAATAGAGTGATTCCTTTATAACTTTTATATTTATTTTGTCCTATAAATAATTTAAATATAATATTAACAATTACAGTACATCAATAAATTACAATTAAGATACAATGTCTTATTCTATTACTAATTATAAAGTCTTCCAACGCACCACACCGAGGCATTGTAATCAAGATACTGACAGCATTACCTCTTAAAAATTCATTTTATTTATTAAATAATTAAATATAGATACGTCAAGATACATTGTGTGCGTAAAAATATAAAATATTAATAAAAAAAAAACGAATCAGCTAATTGGAAAATTAGCTGACAAAAAGTTGATCTTTTTTGAGACTCGACGCTCTACCCATATAATCCAAGAGTCCAACTTACAACAGCAGCAGCTCGCAGCGCCGCTTGCAGCCGCTCGATATGCTGTATAGCCGCCCGTAGTATCTCCAACTTGGGTAATCGCCCGCTGCCTGCGCGCGCTCTGATGCGAAGCTCTTCAAATGCCGCGTTTACCTGTGTCAAAAGGTCGGTATTATAGTAACATACCACCTTTATGTAGATTGCACTTTTCTTTGTAATGGTTGTGATCCAGATTTAATTTGTAATTTAGTCGTATATTTATATAAATGACTAGCTGTTGCCCGCGACTTCGTCCGCGTTTCCGTCGTTTTTCGTAAAATAAGTAGCCTATGTCCTTCCTCACGATTCAGTGGTTTTTATGTAACAGACACATTTCCCTTCACTGCTCTGCTCCTATTGATCATAGCGTGATGAAAAGTATACTATAATAATCTGTCCAGGAGTATAAAGAATAATTGTACCAAGTTTCGTTAAAATCCATCGAGTAGTTTTTTAAAACGAGTAGTTTAGTAAAAATTTTACTGATTGCATTTTTGGCATCAGTATCGATCACTAATCTCCCCCTGATAGTTATTATTTTGGAAATATATTTCATGTACAGAATTGACCTCTCTACAGATTAATAAATATGTATCGTACATTAATCATCTATACTTATAATAATAAGTATAGATGATTAATGTGCGATTCATTTGTTTTTTTTTTTCTGTTTTTACTGCGTCCGATTTGCGCCACCTTCTCTGTACTTACCTACTACTTTATGTGAAGTTGTCTGTAAGAGATTGCTGATAATGTAAGATGCCTTTTCTATTTGCATCATCATCATCATCTCAGCCATTATCCGTCCACTGCTGATCATAGGCTTCCCCAATAGACTGTCATAAGAAACGGTCCTGAACCTGCATCCACTGACTTGCAGGGAGTATGCACCATTGGGGAGTCGTAGGGAGGTTTGGAACCAAACCATTTGCATATTCTATATCAATAATCTAAGTATAGATACATTTTTCTTGTTCCAAGAAAGATTTTGTTAATATTATTACCCTCGGTAGCAGAACCAAAATTTAAGAAAGAAATATTTCCTAAATTGACTTGGAACAAGATTTTGATTTTAAATATCCTTATATTCCAAGTAAACTTCTAAAATCCTAAATGTATGTAACAATAAGATATATTCTAATATATATAACTGATACTCGTTTATATACCGATGAACATCGCTCGACATAAAACCCCAATGGACTAAATCAGAAGAATCCAATTTAAAAGTTTGGCCTATATTTCTCGAAAATCGATTTTACTTAGCGACCCACCATGCAGGTTATGATATTATTATTACATCGATAGTGCAGTTGGCTGAATTTAGGAAGGTTCTTGTGTATAAACTACAACTATGATACAATTCGAAATTGAACAATAGGTGTTTTTATATTTTTCCGTGCATCTTCACGATATCGTACGATTTTCAAGAAAATGTGTACGTGTGTGTGTATGTGTTATATTATATGTATAATGTATGTGATATATATTATTAATTATATTATTCTTTATTCTTTATTGTACACAAAACATATTGTTAATCACAATTCATTATAAACATAATGTACAAAGGCGAGCTTATCTCTAATAAAAGATTTCTTCCAGCAAAACCTTTTCATGTAGATTGTGTTATTTTAAAAATAAAAATAGGCAGTCATACGATCTGCATATATTGTATAAACTATAATTAGTATATATATAATATAATAGTTATATTATTTACGTATTATGTATAATATTATGTAATTAGGACGTTACTATCATAAAACAGTCCGTAGAACGAACGCAGTAGTATAGTGATCTGTGTTAAAAGAGAATTAGAAATAAAGCGATTCATAAAAGAAATTAACCAATTAGTCTTTTTTTATATAAATGTCAAAATATTTTTGTTTATTCCGATAATATATTGTTTCCGTCATGATAATATAAATCTCGGAATCGTGTCGGTTAATGTAAATGGTCCGTGGCTAATAAGCGAGCGCGGGCATCCGTTGGTTTAGGCATTTTACACACCAGATCATATCGTATTTTTAGATATTTTTACCCCGGCCATTTCAGGGTTAGCCATTAGGTGGTTTAAAAAAACTGTCAAGTACGAGAGGTCCTTGTGCTCGTTTCATACTGTTACGAGACTAATTAAAACGGAAATCCACTAATTAAAATTTTAAAAATAAGATGTAATTTATCAAATAAAAGTTAACTATATCTTTTTAAATTTATAAACCAATAACTACGTATATAAAAATTATTACCAATTTAAATAAATAGAATACTGAACATACTTCAAAATTGTTATGTAATATCTTTAAGCGGTAATTTGTACATACATTTATTTACCAGTCAATTCACGGATACATCGTCAAATAGTATAAAATAAAGTTACTCTCCGCGTCTACCTGATTCTCTGCTTAGTTCTTTGAAACTATGCAACGAATATGGGTTTCATTATCATTGAGATTTTTTACCGAAGATTTATATACCTATAACTAACTTTATGCCCGCTACTTCGCACGCATGGATTTCAAAAATCAATAAAACAGTCCACTTCTAGGTGGCGTAAAACAAAATATATATCAGATTTTAAGTCACACCCTCAGAAATACAACTGTGAAAAAAGCGTTCCATTAAGGGATGTAGTATTTGCGTGATGCCAAAACAAATACACAATTAAACATAATTATTAAAACTAGTATAGTTTTGTATTCCATTGGTCTTATCTTCAATACCTCTTAGCTATTTTTTTTAAATCTCCCATGTACAGACTTCGTTTTGTTTAATGTTGCATATTTTTTTATGCAACTTAGAATGGCAAACAAAGTGGCGGCCCACCTGATGGAAAGTGATAACGGTCGCCTATAGACATGAGCAGTGCCATGGGCATAACAGAGTATACTGTTTCACCCATGATACTCCCCATGCGTTGCTATTCCTGAGGACTCAGGTGTTATTCCTCTGTAAGTTCACTGCCATATCCCACCCTTCAAACTAAAACACAGCCATGCAAACTAGTATATTGTATATTATATGCATATTAACACCGATAATAAGATGCACCCGTGTAATACCGTGCTGTGTCACTAGTCTAGTATAATCTAAAGCAATTCCTCTTGTATATTTAGTTCAAAGACTTTCGAGGCCAACGTAATGATTTAGGGTCCCTACATGCAGTGCGACAGCGTCCTAACATCATTAGAGCGACACAAAGACACGGTCCGCGACAGATTTATCGTTGGCCAATCACAATATTTAACGCCACTACAAAACGGTACAAGCATTTAAAAATAAAAATAAATTGTAGCGTCTTTGAGTGCGGCAGTAAATTTGTTTTTATGTGAAATTAAGATGTCCGTCGTATATTCAGATGTTTATTGACGGTGTGTTTCTATTTTTATTGGTAGGGTAGCTGCGGGCGGACGGCGGGTGGGTGCGACTCGAGGAACCCGCGAAAACGGCATTACTAAGTTACGATAAATTAGTATGCACTAATTTATTATTACATTCTAATTTATCATTATTATATATTTATTTTAATTTATTAATAATTCAGCCCAATACAACAGTGTTACTATAAGAAAACTCTTTTAGAGTCAAGTTAGCCCTTTATCGATTTCTTTTTCTACTTAATAATTTTATAATCTTTTTTTTTATGTGCACAATAAAGTATAAATATTAATAACAATAATATTTTTAAGCAAATTCAAAAAGAAAGTTCCCTGTTGCCCTGTATTTCTTTTATCTATATCTATACTTTTATATTTATATAATAACTCGTCGTATTATAAATAAATAGGGGAAAAATATTGTCGTTTGTTTGTAATGGATAAAATCTAAAACTAGTCAACCAATTTTTAAAGTTTTTTCACCTATAAAAAGCTATTTTGAAAAAAAAATTGAGTTTTCTACGAAAATTACAATAATTGTAAAAATAATTATAATTATAGCCCAAGGTATCGAAAATATAAAATACTAATTTATCTTTCTATCTAGCTACTCGTGCGAAGCCGGGGCGAATAGTTAGCGCACTTATATGACACGACAGCTTCGCCAATCTAAACTGATTTTAATAATGTTTTTGCAGTCAATATAATTTACTTCCTTATTGGTTCATTATGATTTATGTAACAATTTTTTTTTTAAAGAAAAATTTAAATCTAAAATGACAATAACAATGTTTAAAAGTCTATAACAGTTACTTAATATAAAAAAGCATAATAATAACCGACCGACCCTTAATTTAATTAAGGCAGCATTTTATAATGTAACTATATTATCATGTATTTAAGGTAAATATAAATGTATGCTTTATTTGTTGTCCTTAAATAAATAAACAAATTGCTAAGATAAAAAAATAAATAATATAATAAAAATGTGTATCTAAGTAAGTTCAAACATCAGAATATTCTAAATCAAGCTTTTAATTATCTACACTTATTTAAAAATAAACTCCACTCATGGGAGCTATTTTAAAATATATGCAAATATGATTAGTCAAATTCATTATTAATTTTATAGATTCATTAAAATATTAAATCGCTCGACTGCGTACAGCTTAACTATTCATGTTTACATTTTGTGTGCTAGCTTTTTTGTAACTTTTATTATTATTTACCTTTTTTTGTCTTTTTACTATATTCTATGCACGTTGAAGGACGATATATAAAATTTTTGGAGTTGAAATCTATTTAGTAATCATAATTTTATGATCAATACTTTCGTTGAATCTGTACGTTACAATTTGGTATTTTTTCTTTTTGATTTGATATTTTTGGCTATGGTTTTAATAATTTTATTTATATTTATCAATAATCGATATATATATATATAATAATCAATAAAAATTAATAATTTAATATATTTATCACCTGAAGCACGCGCCGAGTATAAATGCGAGTAATTGATTACTTTCAGATAAATTACTAAGACTTGAGTAGTAAGTCTATCTGCATCTATTTATAAATTACTAAGTTCGACAAACAGACAGACAGACGTGCTAAGATTAAAATTATTCATTAATTATACCAAGCAATCTAAAATAAAACATACATATTTAGTTTTGCTTTGTTGCATGAACTCACTTAAAGACTTCATTATTATCATATCGTATCAGGCGTTAT